AGCCTTCGTCAAACTTAATAAAACACAAACTGAATTTAAAAATAAAATCTTTTTTAATGTGACGCTGGGAATTAATTGCATTCCTAGACAAAACTAATTCGACACAGTTCCTCCAGATAAGAGCACGCTTTTCAGTGCTGTAGAATGCTGCCAAGAAACAAAAGTCTAATTAAGGCTAACATAAACCAACCCAAAAACCCAGAAAAAACCAACCAGAGTACAGAGATTCACAAAGGACTTGGAGATTACTGAACTGCTTTGCTTTCTGCAAAGCTCTTCATCATTGAGGACTGCCTTTTATCCCTGATGGGAGAGGCAATCACCTCCCAGCCTTACTCCTGAGTCGCTCTTTTGCTTCAGCTGCTCTCGCCTTCTAGCAGCTCTGTGCACATGCGCACTGAGAACAGGCTCCCCTTGTTCCTCTGCTTTGCTACTGCCAGACTCCTAAGGCTCCGAAGGCAGCAGCCCACTCTCAGATGGTCCTGGCCCCATCCCTGCATTGGATGCAGGACCATCATCCAAGTCCTCCCCGACTGGTTCCCTTTTGTCCTCACTGTCTAATACCTCTGCCATCTGCACCAGCTGCTGGCAAACCACAACACTTCCAACAATAAAAAGGAAGACTTGAAAAGCGTATGAACAGAAGTAAGATGTGAGGGGGTCCTTGGTGCTCTCTGAGCTTGCTTGTTTTCTTGCAGGCGTTTCATTACCCAAACTATGTAACATCATCAGTTGTTAGTAAGGCATGCAATTTGCTGTCCATTTATATTCTAGTTCAGGGGTGTCAAACTCAAGGCCTGGGGCCCTGATCTGGCCTGTGGGGTGCTTAGAGCTGGCCAGGGATGGGATGCTGCCTATATAACAACCAGTTTAGTGATTGCATGCTATGCGCATGCACGCACATAAACAGCAATATAAAAATCCTTCCCTGCTCTGTTATTTCGGGAGAGTAACACAGCTGAGGAGCAGCAATCCACACTTCCATGCTGATCAGCTGGGATGATAAAGGTCATACAGTGCAGGGGCAGTCGGGTGGGCCCACATCATGGAACTGGTTTGTTCCAGTGGTGGGATTCAGGTTTTTTTCTCCTACCGGTTCTGTGGGCATGGCTTGGTGGGCATGGCAGGGGAAGGATACTGCAAAATCCCCAGTCCCTCCCCACCCCACTAACCTGCTTTCCAGCTCCATTCTCCTGTGCAGGGCAACCAAAGAAGACCCAGACGATCAGCTGGGACTCACGAGCCAGAGAATAGATGGGGGCAGGATCAGTCAGAGGTGGAATTTGCCGGTTCTCTGAACTACGCAAAATTTCCGCTACCGGTTCTCCAGAACTGGTCAGGACCTGCTGAACGGCACCTCTGGTTTGTTCCCAGCTGATCTTCAGAGCTAGGGGTTTGCCTGAACTGGCAGAATCCCACCCCATCTCTGCACATGTGCGTGTGTCTCCCATGCATCCCCCACCCCCCCGGCGCATGCACACCAGATACCCAACAATCAGCTGTTGGGCGGCGGTGGCACATGCACATGTGCAGTGAGGCTCTTCCGGGCGATTTCTCGCATGCTAGCAGAAGTGGCTCAGCATGCCACTTCTGGCATGCGTGCCATAGGTTCACCAATACGCACATAGGGTTTCCTACTCAAGCAAAAGACCTCCAAGGTCCCCTCAAGCTCTATTCTGATTGAAGTACAGGCAGGGAGTGAGAAAGATCTGGATCCAAAACAAACCAATTTTTGTGAACCCATCTAGTTTTCATAAATTGCCTGCCTCCTGTTTCTCCCCCATGGCAGCACGTTTTGGTACGAAATGCCTTGCACTTCTTGGAGACGGAGGCCCAGGCGGAAGAGATCCACGTTTATACCCGGGCTCTGATGGCGTACGCCTTTACTCTGGCAGGGAATGAGGAGAAGAGGCAAGAAATGTTGGATGCCCTTCAAAAACTAGCCGTGAAGGAAGGTAAGAAGCAGGTGCTTGATGCTAGTTGCATGTGTGATATGCAGAATCCTTGATGGAACTTTGTCAGCCCTCTTGCAGTCTCTGTTGGATGTTTGTGGAGTTTGGCTTCTTCTGATGCTGTGCTGCTTATTTATTCAATTGATAAGGTAAAGATAAAGGTTCCTCTCGCACATACGTACTAGTCATTTCTGTTTCTAGCTGGCGGTGCTCATCTCCGTTACAAAGCCAGCACTGTCCAAAGACGTCTCTGTGGCCATGTTACCAGCATAACTAAATGTTGAAGGTGCACGGAACACTGTTCCCTTCCCACCAAAGGGGTCCCTATTTTTCTACTTGCATTTTTACATGCTTTTGAACTGTTAGGTTGGCAGAAGCTGGGACAAGTAACGGGAGCTCACTCCGTTACGCGGCACTAGGGTTTTGAACCGCTGAACTGCCGACCTTTCTGATCGACAAGCTCAGTGTCTTAGCCACTGGGCCACCACATTCCTCTTTCAATTTATACATTCAATTTATAATATTATACATTCATATATAACTGTGATGGCGCACTTATGGCATGCATGCCACAGGTGGCACGCACAGCCATTTGCGTGGGCATGCAAGCCCCAGCCAAACTTACATGCATTGCTCATGCAAGCACCTCCTAGCTGATTTTTTGGCCATTTGAGGCCTTTTGCGGCCTCTCAGAGGCTCAAGGGAAACCTCTGCAGCCTTTGGAGGCCAAGTAACAGGCCCATTTCACCACTTCCGGAAATACAGGAAGTGATGAAATGGGCCCATTTTTCAGCCTTCAAAGGCGGCAGAGGCTTTCCTTGAGCCTCTGGGAGGCTGAAGAAGGCCTTAAACAGGCCTAAATCAGCTAGGAGGCTCACGCATGTGCAGTGCAAGTAAGGGGGCAGTGGGGGGGATCGTGCACATATGCACGGGGGGGGGGTTTCACACATTGCCTTCTGGGTGCTGATACGCACGTGCAATTTTTGGCCCAGGAGCCCAAAAAGGTTAGCCACCACTCATATATAATGTATAATAAATTATACATTCAATTTATACAGCCATCCATTTCACATACAAGTAGTTCTTGACTTACAACCATTCATTTAGTGACCGTTCAAAGTTACAGTGGGGGTGAAAAAAGGGACTTATAGCCATTTTTCACACTTACAATCATTGCAGCTGGTGAGTGGTCCATTACTGGAGGCTTTTAAGAAGAGATTGGACAGCCATTTGTCTGAAATGGTATAGGAGCTTCTGCTTGAGAAGGGCGTTGGACTAGAAGACCTCCAAGGTCCCTTCACTCTGTTATTCTGTTAAGTAGAACAAAATGTCCTTGAGAAGCCAAAGATACTTGACCAATGTTGGAGGCCTCTGGTGTTGCCTGAATGGAACCACCCAATGCTAAAATTCTTCATTCTCTTTCTGAAGAAGATGGCTCCATCCACTGGGAGAGACCTGAGAAGCAAAAGAAGACCCTCGATCTTCCATACTATCACCCCCAAGCACCCTCTGCTGAGGTAGAGATGACCTCCTATGTTCTCCTTGCTTATGTGGCCAAAGAACTGTCCCCATCCCAGGAAGAATTAATAATTGCAACTGCCATTGTCAAATGGTTGACCAACCAACAGAATCCCAATGGAGGATTCTCTTCTACGCAGGTACGTTGTCTCCCCACAGATTCTCAGGGGATGCTTGGAAGATACTCTAATAGTACTCCCTGTACCAACTTGGTGGACCTGATGTTTTCCCTGTCGTGCTGAGTCTTAATTCCTAAGATTCCAACTGTGGTGTCTCATCCAAGAAAGATGTCCTATCTTTGCGTTCTCTTGCAGGATACAGTGGTGGCTCTCCAGGCCCTCTGTCAGTACAGGACAATTACTTATTCTAAGGATGGAGTTGGTGCTAAAGTGACCTTGAGTTCTGGAGATGTTTCCCTGGCAAAATTCCATGTAGACAGCACCAACTCTCTGCTGCTCCAGTGCCAGGATCTGCCCTCAGTGCCAGGGGACTACACGGCTGAGGTTACCGGTTGCATTTTTATGCAGGTGAGTCTCCTGAGTCAGCTGCTGAGCAAGAAAATTGCTTTCCATCACCAGTAAAGATTGCTTGGACAGATTGAAAAGGTATATTGTCAATTCAAAAATATTTCTCGGGTCTTTTGAGTTGTCAACAGAAAGGGAGTGGGGGAAGTAGTGCATTCCTTAAATACTTATAGATAATTTCTAGGCAACTGAAGCTTCTGGCATGCAAGATTATTACTGGAGAGCATGATTGATGACTCTTGGCTATGGATGTGTCCCATTGGAGAAGATACATCCAGGAAGTAGGGGGAAGACCAGGGTCAAGGGTGAAATGAATGATGTGTCTCAGAGTTGGCTACACCCAGGTAGTGCCGGCATGTTTCACTCCTAATAAATCTTTAACTCTGAGAGATGCGGCTAGAGACTCATGATCTGAATGGGGGTGGATGCCGGAGCCCTGACATATATAAGTGATTCTTGTGATATAAATCAAATTGACAAGAGACTCATGAGCAAATTCAGAGCTTGTTTATTAAAAAGTGTTTGCAAAGGCTGAAATCCTCCTTTGGGGAGGAAATAGGAGGCATTTTTCACAGGCAAACTTGAGAGTTTTATACATGTTCAAAAGCCTAGCCCTATTACCACCCCCTCTTTCTATTGGCTAACCTATTGAGTGGGTAAAGGCTCTTATCCCTGTAACTGTTTACCCATCTGTTTACCTATTTCTAGTAATCTTCATCCTTCTCGGCATACTCTCTTATCCTTTTGGCATACCCTTATTGCTAGCATGATTAATTTTAGCATGACAACTGGACAGCGTGACCTGCAAGCTATCCAATGACCTGCCAAAATATGTCTAACCACAATGTACAAAACAAACTTGTTATTGCAAACTTCTTACATAATGTGTCAGCTTTGGAAGCCATATTGAGACCAGATGCTCCCATGTTGCCACATTTGAGCCTGGGAAAATGGGAGGTGGGAATTTCTTGGAGTATATGTAGTTAGATATAATAACATTCTTTTTCTAATTCAAGGTCATGTCATTTTGCGTATAAGTGAGGGGAAGTCTCAAGTTGGGACAGATGGTGATTGGGCTATGTAATGCGATGATGGGTGCGGGAGATGGATTTGTAGTTTTTACTTATTGCAAGGAAGCCTGGAACTTTCACATTCGGGATTCCCCAGTTGTGCCAGTTTACTATCCAAATAAAAAGGAATCTTTGAGATGTCTGTCTCGGAAGTTATTGGTGGAGTGAAGGTTTGCTGGAATGTTGACATAATGTCTTGCTTAATATTCCAGCTTACACTAGAAGCTAAAAATGGCATTACCTCAGCATCCTTAGCATCCATCTTTTACAGGAATAAAGTTCATCTATCACAGTCCTTGACTTACAAGCATTCATTTAGGGACCATTTAAATTACAGCGACACTGAAAAATGTACTTTATGACTGCTTTTCACCCTTGTGATCATTGCACTGCCGGAATCTGATTCCAACGGGGGGGGGGGGGGGGGGGGGAGCGGCTGATGGGGAGTGGGAATGTGGCTCTGGTGGCTGTGGAAGAAACTGGGGAAAGGCAAAGTCCAGCTGGGCAGAGTAGGGGAGAGAGAGGTAGAGCAAGGCAGAGGGAATTTGGAGGAAGACCCAGGCCCACCCACTCTTCATCCTAGGGCATGCAAGGAGGAATGGAGAAGGGAGCAACATGAGTTGCATGGCTTATGGCAGAGGGAAGGGCCCTGATTCCCTTCATTAGCTGCAGCTGGGAACACAGTATTTAAAAAGGGAGATTGCACACAGCGACTTGTTGGAAGCAAATTGTGAGTTATCTTTTATTGTCGAGTCTTACCTGGGTTCCTGGTGCCTTCCCATCTGTGTGTGTTTTGTTGGCCTTTGAAGTCTGCAATTCCTTATCCTGCCCTGTCCAGTTAATTGCTGCAGCATGGTTTGTGTAGATTTTTATTTACAATTTATATGTACTTTGTTTTTGGACTGAATTTCCTCCACTTAAACACTGTTCTTGGGAGAATTTTTTCTCCAGCTGTAGGTAACTAGACATTGGGGGCAAAGTTGGAGGTATTAAAGGGACTTTTCTTACTTATGTGACTGTGTTGCCCTTGGGCCATGCCCCAGGTCATCACATTGCAGCATCCCTGTGGTCACATGATCAAAAATTGGATGCTTGGCAATTGGCTCACATTTATTACCATTGCCGTGTCCCGAAATCACAGGGTCACCTTTTGCGACCTTCTGACCAGCAAAGTCAATGGAGAAAACTTGAATCATTTACTGGCCATGTTGCTAACTTAACAACCACAGGGATTCGCTTAGTAACCGTGGCGAGACAGGTCATGAAATGGGGCAAAATTCACTTTAACAATTGTCTTGCTTAGCATCAGAAATGTTGGCTCAATGGTGGTTGTAAGTCAAGGACTATCTGTATAAATAATCTGAATAATGTATCAATACTGAAGATTTTGGACTGGAAGGACATAAAGCAATAGCCATAGCCCTTAGACTTATATACCATTTCACAGCCCTCTCTAAGCAGTTTACAGAGTCAGCCTCTTACCCCTGGGTCCTCGTTTTACTGACCATGGAAGGATGGAAGTCTCAGTCAACCTTGAGCCAATGAGAATCGAACTGCTGGCATTCGGCAGAGTTAGCTTGCAATACTGCATTCTAACCACTGTGCCACCATGGCTCTGATGTGAATGTTCTTTGATAGCCTTCAGGTTCCCCACGATCCTACCCGAAGACTGGAGCTTGAAGACACAACCTTTTGATGGGACATCTCCAAGTCCTCTGTTTTCACCCTTGTGAGCACCACCCTTGTCACAAGCTGTATCACGGTGGTGCCCTTGAGAGTAAAGAACATCTGTCTCTGGGCGACCCAATTTAGAGGCTTAAAAAATTCCAGTGGTGCTTACTGTAGGTTGACTCTGGACTCTGTTCCCTGCCTCTGTGAAATGATGGGTTCTCCCACTCTAGGGGCCCTTCTGCATTCACATCTTATCCATGGATCTCACTCACAGGAGCTATTCAAAGATAAGACACGAGTGTGTTGCTTCCTTTTCAGACCAGCTTGAGGTACAACATCCAACCACCCCAGGAAGAGTCACCATTCAAGTTGATTGTGCAGACAGTTCCCCAAAATTGCACTGGACCTAAAGCCCACCAGACCTTTGACATTGCTTTCAACATCAGGTAATGGGTCAACATTGAGCATGTAGGCATCTGTGAGGGAGAAAGAGAACCTCTTCTGGCTATCTAGGCAGTATGGGTCAGGAATGGGCAACTTCTAAGGGTTCAAGGGCCACAACTTGGCTCCTCCACCTTCTGAAAAATCAGTGTTCTGCACACCAGAAGTTCCATTAAATGGCAGCTTGGGATGGAGGGAGAGGTGGTATTCAGCAGTTCTGACCGGTTCTGGAGAACCGGTAATGGAAATTTTGAGCAGGTTAGTGGGGTGGGATGGGAATGGAGATTTTACAGTATCCTTCCCCTGCCACACCCACCAAGCAACACCTACAGAACTGGTAGTAAAAAAAATTTCAATCCCACCACTGGATGGAGGAGCTGAGGACACACCCAAACCTTTATGAACCCACAGTATCTTGCTCTTAAGGTGTGTACTTTTCCTTCAAAAGAATGTGACATGGCTTCTTTCTTTTCTTGGTTTCCCAGTTACACCGGCCAACGTGTGGTTTCCAACATGGCAATTGTCCAGATTAAGATGCTATCTGGATACATCCCGGTGAAATCAACTGTAAAATTGGTACATACCTTTGTTTTTCTCACCTCCAAAGAATTTTTTGTTCTTGGCAACAAAACGGGGCATTAAGAGGGTTAAGAATTACCCTTTAAATGTGCAGTAAAAGTAGTCTCCATTGTTGTATCTTGAAGCATCAAATCAGCACACGGAATTCATGAACCCTGGCACTCAGACTGACCACAAACAACTTTGATCCAGTTTGCACAGACAAAGCAGGAAGACTAATTGGCCTCATTCAGCATGGCCCACGACAATATATCTATAATCTTTGGAGTGTCAGTAAAAATGTAGAACTTACTGAAGTTCAGGTTTTGATCCTGGCAGTGGGCAGAATTAGCCTGCAATTCTGCATTCCAAACTTAAGAGCTATGGTGGTGTAGTGATTGACTCTTAAGTTCTCCATTTTGAGAGAAAGTCCCTTCCCCCTCCACATGGATAATGCCAGATGTGGTTTGATAGTCCTCCATGATGTTTCCTCTTCCTTTTCTTCATTCCAAGCCAAAGAGTTTGTATTATGACACCAGCTTTTTCCCTTTCTTCACCAGCTGGAAAAACATGTTTTCGTCCAGAAGACTGAAATTGCAACCACCCAGGTCCTCCTGTATTTGGAAGAGGTGAGTGGGGCTGGTGAACGAGAGCTGGGGTAGGAGACCCCTTCCTCTCTGCAGGAAGATAGGGCTCACGTGAAAAAATTAGCTTTGGTTGCCACAATATAAAAACAGATGACGAGACTCTTGAGAAACGAACAGCAAAGATGATTAGGGGCCTGGAACAGAGGTGACATTCAGCAGGTTCTGAACACTTCTGAAATTTTGAGTAGTTCGAAGAATCAGCTAATACCTCCTCTGATTGGAGATTTTACAGTATCCTTCCCCTGCCATGAGCACCAGGCCACACCCACAGAACTGATAGTAAATAAAATTTGAATTCCCACCACTGGACCGGAAGCTAAAACAATAGAATAGAATAGAATAGAATAGAATAGAATAGAATAGAATAGAATAGAATAGAATAGAATAGAA